ATTAAGAAATCTCTTTTCATACATCCATTGTGCCGTGCATGAGCGCTAAAGCCCTGACGACTCCAATGCATCAAATGTAGGCCATCACCTATATTTATACTTCAGATCTCAGGCTGGGGATTGGGTTTAAACATGTACAATCAGCACCTGTTGGGTTTCACATATTAGCATGACAGGTGTCTAGAAAGCTGCCTGTTTACTGCAGTCACGGCAGTTACTCCATGTGTATGGTCAAGCACCTTTACATGTTATTGACCATCCATAGGTCTTGGTAAATAGCATTTTAGCTCATAGAAAAGACTAAGGTTTATGAAGGAAACTGATACCTCATGTGTACAGATGAGCTGTCTGTGTACACTCTTAATCTGTTTTTAAAATGGGAAGAGTTAACATACAGTTAAAGGTATATTTCAAGTATAAAAAATAATATAGGAACATAGTAATATACATGAAGAGAGTATACTTATAAAATGTACTTTCAAACACAAAAAAAATATGCTAGAAGTATTTGACTTCTGCAAACTATTTGTATAGTTATAAGTACACTTGCAGTACGTAGTACTACAAAAGTACTGCAGTACAAAAGTAGTTGTGTACTCAAAGTATACTAAAAAGAATACTTTTATACATTAAAAAGTTGGCCAATTTAGTCCCAAGTAGTATTGAAACAGTATACTTGTAGTGCGTTGATATTAGTGTACTTCGCTTACATAAACTATACTTAAAATACACTTGAACTTTACTTAAGTATACTTCATAAAATGAAATCGAAGTATACTTATTTTTCAGAAGGGTAACACAAAATGTTCCTACACCCACACATAAATCCTCCTCCTCTTGGCACGTGGATGGTACACACCTGGTACAGTTCATTGGCACACTTGCGGCAGAGGTTGTGCAGACAGGGCAGAATAACGACTGGTTTCGTAAACACATCCAGGCAGATGGGACAGATGAGTTGTTTCTCCAGCGTCCCCATCGAGGGGTCTTTGTGGTCAGCGCGTATATCCAGTGGGAGAGACATGGCCGTGTGCCCCCACTGACCCCACACTCACTGGAAAACTAAGTTAGGAGAGCGAAACCACAGCCAAGGAGATGAGACGGCACCGTCTCCATGTCTCTGTGCTGTTCTTGTGTGGATTTCCCGTCTCTCGAAGCAGAGGGCCGTCGCTCTGCCCCAGTGCTCGAAGGGGACGATGGGGGGCCTGTGTTGGTTTGCAGCTGGAAATGTGTGCATGTGCCAGAGGGGGAAGGTGTCTGGTTTCTTGCTGGCTCACTGTGACACACCCTACCCTTAATCTGTTGTGCCCATTTCAGGCAGCCAGTGGAATGCTGGGAAATAGAGATGATGCCCTTTCTCCTGTTACTCCAATCATTCATGAGTCTGATTCAATGACACTGTGTCCAAGTTCACATATAAATACATATACACATACATATAACAAATACAATATATATATATATATATATAACAAAACATTTGGCTTACTTTCACTTCAATGTTTTTGACTTTTCTAACTTTTAATTGAATTAATATTAGGGCTGTCAAACAATTTATATATATTTTATATTTAAATATTTATATATTTTATTTAAAACGATTTATTTATATAAATACACACACATGCTTGTATATATTTAAGAAATATTTTCATGTATATATATATAATTTATATTATATATAAATATAAATATTTTACATATAAAAAATATTTAAAAAAAATATTTTTGGATGCGATTAATCATGATTACTCGTTTGACAGCCCTAATTAATATTTATTTATTGCATCCCTGTAAGTGTCAATAGCAACATTAGCGCTTTATTTAGCAGAACATTGGCTTTGCACAAATACACACAAACACCAGAGATACTTTTTAAGCTTCCTTTCACATTTATTTTACAGTTGCAATTCAGACCAATTACCCATGTTACATATCTCTGACACAATGTATTCATGCTACAACAATTTCAGCTGTTTTGATCCAGAATGCGCAAAATAATTCTGTACAATGGTCATTTTCGCTTACACATATTGAACTACGTAATTTATTAAAAACAGGAAAAATAAAAAATAAAATCTTGTTTCTCATCACCACTATTTCCTTCATTTATAACATGATTCTGTTTAGGTGTTGCACTCAGACGCGAGGCTCCATTCGTTCTCCGACTGGAAGCAACAGGATCAATATATGATGATTTTTTTTTTTTTTAATTTATGAGCATGAACAAATAATTAAAACCAAAGTTAGATCATCTGTGTAACAGTGGAGCTTGTGTTGTGAAATAATATTTTGCAAAAAAAAAAAAAAAAGTTACACATTGTGCACAGCTCAGTTTTAGAAATGTTTAGAAACATGATCACTAATATAATCTGCCAGTGCCTAATGCTTCAGACATAAATTAATTACAAAAAACAAACTATGATACACATCTAGACACCAATGAATCATCCACAATGTGAACCTAAACAAATAAAACATACACATTTGGGGTAAATTACACAAGTTTTCTGCACATCCTCTTTCAAGTGCGTAAATGAATGTTTAAAATACACATGCCCATCAGTGACAGCTTTACAGCTTAAAGAAATGACAACTGAACACAGTACATAGATGGTGGTACAGTGATTAAACTCAGAGCTTAGTTTTAAACAGCACACACACAAACACACATATAGTGTCTAAAACAGAAATGAGGTTTTCCTACTTTGAGGTCTGTATGCTATGGAAGCTTATTTACGCCACTGAATAAAAAAGGTAATCTAACAAATCGAACTTTTTCACTCACATCTTGTTTTCTTGGCAGAAACAAGCTTTCATAGCATGTTCACTCCTATTAAAATGAAAATGCATGCATTCAGAGAGATTGCAAGTGTCAGGGTTCCCAAAACTTTCAAAGAATTGATTTTTCCAAGATCGTTCCATTCATCCATGATTACTAGATAAGGCTTTGTAAATTTACAAAGAGTGTAGCTCATGAAGATTGCTTATTTGCTACATTCCAAGTCACAGATGTAAAATTCCCAGGTTTAAACCCTGGGAACCCTGAATCGTGTATGAATGATATGTTCAAAAAGGATTATAGCCTGAAGGATACAGATCACAGAGTTATATTTTTTTGGCATAATAACAGTAATACTGTTAATGTGTATTAACTAGAGTACAATATTATGTAGACCTGATTACATTAAACCAGGCACTAGGGATCAAGATCAAATTATGGGTACAATTACAGCCAAAACAAAATACAATATGGCCACGTCCATGTCTAGAACTACAGGTATATAATTTCACAAATGTATCTAACTAAAATGTTTCATTGGTAAAACAGTTTTGTCAGTTTGAAACTAAAGAATCAATTAATCAGTTAACTCAATATTTTGAAATTATATGGGAAATATAAGTTAAAATTATGCAGATTAATGCCTTTACCCACAATCTTCCTGTGCTTGAATTTAATCTAACCCTCTGTCCTCTGAAATCACAACCCTGAGGAATGCAAAACAATAATGCTAGCACAACCCTGTAACTTAGCAAAGCCTTTAATACCATTAATATATATATTTTTCATACTAAGGAAGTCAATGTTTGGTTACCCACATTCTTTAAAATATCTTATTTGTGTTCAACAGAAGAAAGAAACTCATACAGGTTTGGAACAACTTGAGCGTGAGTAAACGATGACAGAGTTTTCATTTTTGGGTGAACTGTCCCTTTAAGAATACAGATGGAAATACAAAACACATGTACAATAAATAACCTAGCACAGTCTCAGTAAGTATCGGACAATCCCAATCTCCTGTTCCAGTGACCACACACACACACACACACACCACAGTAAGACATGTGGCTGATTTTAAGTAGCTAAGCCCTGCATGATTATATTTGACAGTACATGTCCACCGGATGCCATTGACACATAACCGTCTCACATAAACATTCGTAGCATGACACAGCAATGCTTCCTCAATCGTGTCCTCAGTGACTACACTACACTGCTTTCCTGTTTTAAAGAATATACATGTATGTGTATGACTGAAAACCCTTTCCTGTTGATGTAACAAAACACTTGAAATTTTAATCTGAAGGAATAAAACATATAATGTGACTTTTGCTTAAAAATGGCACAGGCTTCTTTGTCACTAGTCCATAACATGAGCAGAACATTTTTGTCAAAGACATAAACACTGTTCAGAATGTGGAAATATGAAAATGACCCAGGACAATATTTATGATGTGAGGTTGGTGCTAATCATATGCATGGAAAAGAAATTAATTTTTTAAATGTTCTTAAAATATGTATTAATATATGTAAAAAAAATTATTATTACAGTGTAAAACAACCAATTTCTGTTTTAATATATTTAATAATGTAATGAATTTTGATCAGCATTACTCCAGTCTTCAATGTCACATGATCCTTCAGAAAACAGTTGTGCTGCTTAATATTTTAAGATTTCTTCAGGATTCTTTGATTAATAGAAAGTTCAAAATACCTGAATTTAAAATAGAAGTTATTTGAGATCTTTGTAACATTATAAATGTAACTTTTGATCAATTTAATTCATCATTTCCAAATAAAAGAATTAAAATCTTACTTAACCCAAGCATTTGAATGGTAGTGTTTGAATGATCTGACAACTTTAACTGACTGGAAACAACTTGATAACGGTTGAACACCAGCTTCGTTGTCCATTACCACAGCTGAATACATTGAAACATTCAAAAATATTAGTGTATGTCCTGTTGTTACGAATTAATTCTCAAATAGGATTGATAAAATGTATCTTTCACTGATCATGTGGACAAATGCAGTGTGAAAGATGAAGCATGGATCAAAGCAGGAAGACTGTATGGACACTGTAAGAAAGTCCTTGTGTGTGTGTATGTGTGTGTTGAATACAAGTAGGTTTGGGGACGATAGAGGTAAAAGGCAGATACAAATAACAACTCGCTTCTTGCCCTGTACAGTGGAGCATTTCAGGTTTTTCAACAGAAGATCTGGAACTAACTAACCCCCTCACCCTCTTCCTCTGGATCACTCGCTCCCCACAGAGACCTCTTCCGGGGATGGTGGTCTCATGTGCGAGAGAGCGAGGGAGGATTTAATAGTTGGCGTCTGTCCGGTAGCTGGTGTGGTAAGACGAGTCTGCGGTCAGCTGAGTGGTCTCCGTGGCAGAGGACGGCTGCATCACGATGGGGCTGCTGCCATCTGTGGAAACAGACACCTACTTTATAATGTGAACGGCTGATAGCCCAAACTGAACCCTGCTGATAAGCATTTTCAGGTATTTTAAATGCCACATCAAATGCTGAACGGACCTTTTTTTTTTTTTGACTGCAATTGTAAGCGAAACAGGCAATAATGTTGGGTGGGAATTGATTTTATCACTTAGGATTTGATGGAAACCAATGATACTATTGACCTACCTGCGCGGCCTTGGTTATGCCAGCAGAAAAGAAAAGTTCATTTCAGAAGCAGATAAAATTATGACATTGTGCCGAAAGAGAATGAAACCAAACGTTATTCCTTTACAACAGCATGCAATGAATTATGTACAGTAGTGACAGGGACATTTATTAAAACCCAATAAAATTAATTAAAACCCAACATAGTTTTATGTCCAGATGTATTTCCTTTTGAAAAAGGAAGTAGGAGGAAATACATTTTTTTTAAACACCAATATACACCATGTAAAATAGTATTTAGTTTAAGACCACTAAACTTGAGAGGAACCAATATTAAAATTCTGTCTGATACCAATAAATTGATACATATTAATGCTAGAGCCAGTAACCAATAAATGGCTGATATAAAATTTATTTCCAATTTGGTCAAAAATGAAATATATAAAAATTTAAACACTAAAAAATTCAAATCAACAAGTTTTAAATAATATGAATGAAGGTATGATTGACAACATCATAATAATATTGGTTTGGATATTTGCTAAAGATTAGATTTGACTGCATTGTTGATTAACTGCATTGTTTCTATATGTAATAGTATCTAATTTTAATAATTAACAAGTTAAAAAAAATCAAACATTATTTTAAATCATCTTTTCTATAATTTTACATATACTGATTTTAATAAAATACAATTTATTGAATATTCTGCAGAACTGCATTCCTGCATGCATTTTATTTGTATGAATATGACTAAACACTGAAATAAACAGTAATAAAAAAAACATTAAGGGCCAGCTTGTGCCAGCGCAAACCCACTTTCGGCATTAAAAAACTACAGTTATTGCTCATGCATTTGTAGGAATTTCACTAACAGACACAAAATTTATGTGAGGAGAGAATTTAAATGAATCGTGCAAGGTCAATTTACAGTTTTTTGAGCCTTTATTTACCGTACTTTGTAGTACACTGCGTTGGTCATTATGTAAATGATCCAGCTGCGTCTGTGATCTTTAATTTGTGCATCGTCAGCAGATCACGTACAGAACTTTATACTCCCATCACCGCTTTTTTGGTTAGACACTATATGTGTGTTTGTGTGTGTGCTGTTTAAAACTAAGCTCTAAGTTTAATCACTGTACCACCATCTATGTCTCTATCTCTATGTGTGATAAGTCTGGTCCTAAGTCACCAAACCACAACATGCTACTTGCTATTGGATGTCAGTGTCAGGCGGTATTATCTCAAAAATACACACATGGACTAATAGCCACAAAACTTCTATTTTGAATTCATGTTGTCTTAAAACCATGTTAATTTGACTATTGTGAATGAATGAGAGTCAGTGTCTCTCACCTCTCTCATCAGACTGCATCTGAGCTTCCAAGTCTTCAGGAGACACATAGAAATCCGGCTCATCTGAATGTGGAGGATGAGGTTTACACTTCCCACAGCAGCAGTTACAACAGCAGCACAGACAGCAGCAGAAGTAGCAGCCCGTGGCCACACCGCAGAATATAAACAATGCCTGTCAAGAGGGGAAAAAAACAGTTCAACAGGAATAACCATAATTTACACAATGGTTCAAATGTCTCTTCTGCTCACCAAGACTGCATTTATATGCTACAATCAAACAGTAATATTGTGAAATATTATTACAATTTATATTTAAATGAAATGATTACTCCAGTCTTCAGTGTTACATGATCCATCAGAAATCCTTCTAATATGCTGATTTGGCTGCTCAAATTTTTTTTCTTATAATCAATGTTAAAATAATTTTTCAGGATTCTTTGATGACTAAAGTTCAATAAAACAGCATTCAAAAAGAAATCTTGTGTAACATCAGTACATCATGTATTTACTGTCACGTTTGATCAATTTAATGCACACTTGCTAAAAACAAAAAACAAAACAAAAAACACTGACTAAAAAAAATTACAGACCCAAACCTTTGAAAGGTAGTGTATGTTACTTACTATATATCTTGTATGTGTGCTTGTGTGTATGACTAACCTTGGCCCACCAGCTGGACAATACAAAGTACGTGTTAACATTCTCCTCTCCGAACTGTTCTGCCACGTAAAGGCCCAGAGATCCGTATTTGTCATAGATGTTGCGTTTGGTGGGGTCTGATAAAATGGCATGAGCATTGTTGATTTCTTTGAATTTCTCAACCGCTTCTGGATTGTCGGGGTTCTTGTCTGGGTGGAATTTCAGAGCTAGTTTCCTGCAAACCAAAAGGGAAGAAATGAGAACGAAACTTTTATTAATGCAACTATGATCTTTCCTGGCATTACTGCCAATCCGCTATTAGGTGTGTTAATGTGAAACTATGGCTATGCCTAGAATGGTATACTATCTGGCAACTATTATTTAAAAATAGTATGCGAATGTTGGTAAATGTAGTCAGTCATCTATTATTAGCACAATTCATGCACAAAGAATATATACATACTGTGAGCAGTATGTCGAATGTTATCATGAACACACAGAGGAAGTGAGGAAAATGTTCTGTCACCCTCTAGTGGATCGATTTGAAAACTCAAATGTGCTTAACACAACGAAATTTGTGTTTACCTACCCAATTCCTCTTGAGTAAAGTAAATAAAATTAAAATAAAAGCGCTTCAGAGCAATTTCTCCACTATTTTTGTTGGTAATATTGTAACAATCTTTTCATGTCCATCCAGTGTCTCACCTGTAGGATTTCTTTATGTCTTCTTGTGCGGTGTTCTTATCAACTCCCAGGACCAGGTATAGGGATTCTCCCGACGTGGAGAGTGAACGCTGTCTCTGCTGCTCCGCCATTACTCGCACACACACTCACACACTCTCCCCTCACACAACCACCTCCGCTGTCTGAAAGAAAAAGAAGAGAGACGTGCGTTGCTGTATGTGCCTGTTATTTCCACTGCTTTCTGTTTTCTTGCTTTTTACAAACAGCATAACATGTACATACACAAAATGCAAGCTTGTACATGCTGCCATACCAGGAATGTAGCAAAACAACTTTTCAGGTTTCAAATTAATTTATCATATACACTATTTTTTCACCCTATTACCCTTTAGCTCAGCAAAATGCTGAGAATCACCATTATTATGTCAGTCAGAGTCATAGGTTCATCATTGTCCCAAATGTCTCTGTTCTGAGAGCACTAAGTCACTGAATTAACATTGTGTACACTCACTGCACTACAAAAAGTCATGTGACTGCAGCACACAGGGAGGAGTTGGAGAGGAAGGGAGAGATGCTGGTTCCCTTTAGGTGCAGCTTTCTTTACCATGGCTAACCTATGTATTCACATACAAGCTAATCATAGTTAAAATAGCATGCCGGGTATCTATTCCTTTGATTTACACACTTGTAATTCATTATCTTTGGTTTCAGAGTCTCAGAGTGGCAGTGCTGTAAACGAACAGAGCAGCTCAGAAAAACAAAAACAAAACAACAAAAAACAATAAACAGTGCCGTGCTTCACTTGTTGGAAACCCACAGTGTAAATTTATTTAAATCGCAGCCTTTGAATTGATCCTTGCACTAAGCTATGGGATGAATATAGTATAAAAAAATGATGAACACGTGCAAGCACAAATATCAATGAATGAACTTGATTAATGTTGCAGAAATGTTTTACTACCCACAACCAAATGCCTTTCAACTTGTGTGTGCAAAATTCAAAATTGAATGAATGTGGTGAAATTTGTACAAATCGAGACATTTTTGTGAATACAAATGTTTTCTCTTGTATTAGTGTATCATAATTTGCGCATGGAACAAAGAAGATGTGCATTTGTGGATCAGGTGACGCGTGTGCATTTATTGACGTCTTTTCTGAGTCAATCTCAGTTGTTAATACAAAACCTTGAATTTGTATTAATGTAGCTCAGAATTTGTGCATTCAACAAGATGTGCAATTGTAGATGAGGTGACACGCGTGCATTCATTGACTCGTTTCGGAGTCGGATTTTGATATTCTCAAACCGCGAAAAGAAAGTCTCAAAATCCAAATGAATCAAATGAGATTGATTTAGAAAAGACGTCATGCACACGTCTCACCTGATCCACACATGCACATCTTCTTTGTCATGATTCTCCAAATCCTCAATTCGATTACATTTTTGATTCTAAGGGTCGATTCGATTCTCGCTTTTTATCAATCGGCCAATCAGGATGCTCTCTGTCTTACATGCGCTTCATGAGGGTCTCTCGCTCTCTCTCTCTTTTTCTGTCTCGGCATGCACACTTGCTCTTGATTTTAGCTAATTTGCGTGCATCAGGGAGCCGCTATCAATATGCGGGAGACTCCCGGAACTTCCGTGAGACTTGGTATGTCTGCAAACTGTGACTTTATTGAAGCGCGAACGTTGTCAACATAACTCACTGGAAATCCAAAAAACTTCAATAAAAGAGGAGGGGGTCCAAGTTTTGTCGATCGGTCTCCAGCATCTGCCATGCAATCTTTTGAATGGCAGTAGCTAAGTTAGAAGAGGTTGACCATTGACCCGCAGCACTTCAACACGCGTTTTTGTCCGCTTGGCAAGCCGAACGGACGTGACATGGGGGCGTGGCAGCAGCGACTATTGTGAATTAATTTCGATTGACCCCCTTCATTTGCAGAATAGTCGCTGCTGCCAAGCCCCCATGTCACATCCGCTCGGCTTGCCAAGCGGAAAAAAAAGCGTGTTGAAGTGCTGCGAGTCTCTTCTAACTAGCTACTGCCATTCAAAAGATTGCATGGTAGATTCTGATATTTGTGCTTGCACGTGAGTATCAAAATTATTTTGATACTATATTCATCCCATAACTTTATGCAGACTGGCTCAGCCAGAAAATTTGTTATACTATGTTGTCGGGTAGGTGTACATGAACACATGGCAGGAGATAGGGAGGCAATGTCTTCCACACGGGGAGAATCATAAGTTACGTCCTCCTGTATGCAGGAAAGTCAATTAACCCATTAACCCAGAGTAATTCAAGTTAAGACACTTTCTTCCACACAAAATGGCTGCAAGGAAAAGAGACATTTCACTGTCACAAGAGGACAATAAATGAATCAACTGTTAGCAAAGAGAAATGACTCATAATGACTCTAATAATGACTCTCAACGAGTACAAATTTCTCTTTTTCATTAGAGGAGCTTTCTTAACTAGACAGTTTCAACTCCCAATTCGACTCCAAATTCAGGTTAATCGTGCAGCTTGTCAGAGAGTATTAGCAGATTAGCGGAGCGTCTGAATAAGTGAAGGGTTATTTCTGTCCCTTCTCAAACCCTGTGTGCTACATCCCATAATTCCTCTAGGTGTGATACTCTAAGGGAGTGTGTTTGGGTGAGATTTTGTTATCTCAGAGTAGCCTTTGACCATTTCATTTGTGTCAAAACAAATACAGCATCTGTTGTTCAGAACTTCAGATGTTAGTGGTGCTTATTTACTATTGCTCATGCTTAGGATTTTCAAAATTATTATTAAAGGGGTGGTTGATTAGGATTTCACTTTTCTAACTTTAGTTAGTGTGTAGCATAAACATCATCTGTAAAGTTACGACGCTCAAAGTTCAAAGCAACTAGATATTTTCTTTTACAGAAATCACTTTAAGGACTACAAGAAATCACTGATACCAACACGAACTTCCTCCCAGGTTAGTGACATCACAAACCATAAAATGTACATAAACCCCGCCCTGGGAACACACAACAAAGGAGGTGAGGCTATGATGAGAAGAGGAAGAATTGTTGTAGTCGAGCACATTTGTGAGTCTGCTCAAGCTGTCACATCCGTCTTTTCACATTTATTGCAATGCAGTATGTAACACAAGTGTAATAGCATGCCACTATGTAGGCATGTTACATCAGTTCCCACACAAGCGATTTATAGATTATCATGACAGAATATGCTAATCAAGGACTTAAAAAAAAGTTAACTTCTCATCAGCAGCATAAATTCATCAACTAATTTAACCGATTGCCTCATAGACAGTAAAAGATTGCCTGTGAGCTTCTCCTCCTGTCTATACGGTAATGCCTCCATTGTGCGACAGAAAGTTGCATGGTTATGATGCAATCGTTAGCCTATTTTTTTTACACAAATGGCTTCCACGGGGCCGTAACGTAAGATACAAAGTAATGGACCCTTTTATACATTGTCGTGTTTCTTTATAAATAAATATTGGACAAATGGAGTGTTTGGATGCCTCAGATGTAAAGTTATTCGCTGACAAAGTGACGCCAAAATGAATGGGAGTCAATGGGATGCTACAATGGCGGCTCCAGCGAAGCTTCAACTTCCGGCTGATGGATTCCCCCCTTGGGAACCACATGTTCATTTTCTCGTATTTGAGGCGTGGTTTACGAATGCCCAGAGACGTTTATTGGGTGCTACGAATCAGGGTTTCCGTTGTCCGGTAATTACAGGACATTGGCCAGGAAAAAAATGAAATAATTGTCTGATTAAAATATCGTAATAATCCTGCCACCCCTAACACAATATGAATTATACACCGACCTTTGGCTATGTTATAAAGGAACATGCTCTACCGTTTGGAAGTCATTAAACAACATCGCACGCTGCATTTCAAATAAAGCGCACGTCTAAAACGGCTGTACTATAGGCCTAAACAACGAACGATTGAGTGAGATGTTTGAAATATGGCCAGGCCCAGGCAGGCTAGCCCTAAAAGCTTTTTTCAGAGGCCAGACGCAACGGACGATGGTGAATCAGGAACATCTCATTATATAAATTAGGGGTGTGCACGAATATTCAATCTGTAATTATTATTCGGAAAAAAAAATACTATTCAAATTTTACTATGTTGCTTTGCTGGCCATAAATGCTGAAATTTTACCAATGCCAATTCATTACTGAAAAGCATTTATTTAAAATAGACATGTTTTGTAACATTATATATGAATACTGTTTTGATCAATTGAATTCATCCTTGCTGAATTAGTTATTTTTTAACTATATTTGAATGCAATCCAAGTAACATCTATTCTGCATACTTTATGCATGTTTGGACTTAATTAGCAGTGACATCTCAACCCCCCAGCACACTATAGTATTAGCAACCATAACGCAGTGTGCTAAAAACAAGCATTAGCAAGCACAGATCGACCTCCCACAACACCAGCTTAGCACCATTCACCACCAACATTTGCTGAGAAAATGTTTTTAAAAACATTACACATACACAATTTGTATCTAATATAGTGTCAGTAATAAGCAAGTGTGTGTGGGCTGCTAGCAGATAGACTTCCTGCTTCAGCGGTTCATTAAATGTGATTACTAATAATGTTTTCATCAGGAGCAGGGCTCTGCAATGCAGCCTCACCAAAACTCTACATCCATCTCTCTTCCTCACTCACACACACTCCCTTCCCCCTCCGTGCCTCTGCACCACCATATGGTCCAGCTAAATCTTTAGTGGCCATCTCAGCCATTGGACTAGTACTAGATACAGCTCAACTGATAAAGGATTTTGAAGGCCGATACAGATACAAATACTTTTTGGTTTTAAAATCCGATATGCCGATATATCGGCCGATATTTTTTAATTTTTTTTTATTTAAAGGGCACCTATTATGGAAAATTCACTTTTACATGGTGTTTGAACATAAATGTGTGTTGGCAGTGTGTGAGCAAAACCACCCTAGAATGATATAATCCACACAGTGTTTTTTTTACAATCTCAATAAATCATATGCACTGTGTCAGAACGAGCTGTTCTGAGATCCAGCTCTTTGTAACGTAGAATTGAGGAAGGGGTTTGATTGACAGTGTGGTTGTAGCATAGACCCCGCCCTCGGTGATCTGTACACAATCATCATCCTCCATTGTTTCAACAACGAGCCAATTCAACAAC